CCTGGCTCTCCGGGAGCCACTTGGCAGGGTGCTGGGGCTTTGACAGGAACACGTTTGGGCGATGCATCCTGGGAGCGGGGCTGGGGGGTGCAGGGCCCCAGGTTCCATAACCACCCAAAGCCCGCCCGCTCGCTGCTGCCTCCTCTCTGGTCCGGGCTCCCCTTACGCCTGCCCGCCTGTGTCCCGCAGAGCCACCGGCCTTCCCGAGAAGTACTGCATCGAAGCCCAGCGCAAAGCTAACATCCTGCCACCCGCCTCTGTGAGCTGAGGGGCGCCTCTGAGCTGCTCTGGGCGCCCACAGGGGAAGGTTCGCCCCGTCGCTGGGAGTCCATGACTGCTGCTCACCTAGACATTTAGGAGTTACAGATTAAATCTATTCTACTTCTCTAAGGAGCAGCCTGGCTTCCTTGTGTGGGAATGTGGCCGCTACGGGGTACTGAACGTGGGGCAAAATAGGTTACAGGAGATCCAGGTGTGGGCGGTGTGATTCTCAGGGCCCAAGAATGCAAGGATACTCTCCATGGTTCCCCTTCTAAGCCAGGTGGTCCCTTTGTTCTGGTGGCTCATGGCCTTTTTGCGACCCTCTGGGAGGCTGCCATCGCGTCAGCCTTCAGCATAGTCTAGTCTCTGCCTGCAGTCCAGGCCCAACTCAGAGGCATTTCAGGGGCGAGGCAAGGAGCTAGAGATGCTCTCAGGGAGAGGCCGGGGCAGGGCCGGGCTGGGCGGAATGGGGAAGGAGGCACCGGGCCACTTGAGCTCCTCTGGGCTCACGCCAATGACTCAGACCACATCTGTGAAGGGGGTGGTGTCTGAACCTGGGCTTACCCATCTGTCTCAGCCCTACCCTGCCAGAGCCTTTTCAACTCCAGGCAGTGCCACAACACAGACACCTGCCTGTCCCTCAGCAGGGCACACCCCAGGTCCCACTCCTCACCCTGCGGGTCTAGTCCCCTCACCCAAACACAGCTGCCCCACTCACTCAAGTGGCTGGGCTCTCCTCAGTCCACCTCACTCCGATGAGCGGTGCTCCCCAAAGCCATTGCTATCCGTGTTAATACTCTACCCATCCAGTCACTCATTCAAATACTTCTTGAGTTCCTACAATGTGTTAGGTATGCTCTAGGCACTCAGTGAGCACAACAGACCTAGATCCACCCTCACAGAAACTTGTCATTGTTCCAGTCTGCTCTTGATTTGTGTCCCTCCAGCAGCTGCCACCAAATTTCTTGTACCTTTAGAATAGTCTCAACCCTTTTGGGGAAGACCCTGATTATCTGGCTCCCACTGGGCTGAAGTGGTAGCTTCTGGGGATGAGCCACTCCCCATTTGTGTATGTCCAGCTCCCATCACCAATGGTGCCCCACCCCAGGCACTTGTGTTTCATTACTCAAACCCAGAGCCCAGGCTTGTCTCCCTCCACGGGTCCTGCGCGAGAAGAGGCAGAAGACAGCCGCTGGCAGAAGACAGTTGTGTTTACAACGCCAGGTTACAAGGGCCTCGGGCAAGAGTCCTCTCTTCACAGGGCCCAGAGAGAGTGGGCAAGCTGCTTGCTGCGCTTCCTCTTACCCAGGACAGCTGCAGCGTCCCAGCGCCCTCCACCTTTGTCACCAGGGCAGACTGTAGCCCTGCCCAGCAAGGTGGGCAGCCCCACCAGCTGCTTGGGGGAGAGGCCTTTTCACCTTTCCTGCTCAGTACCCTGAAGTGCATGCCTCCTATCTAGGGAGGCTGTCGTTTTCCTCCCTAGGGGCCTTGGAAAGTGTGGTACCCGGCCTAGGGTGGGAGAGAAGACATGGCAATGCCAGTGAGGATTCTGGCCCCTTCCTGCATCTGGCTTGCTTACCTACGTTTTCTCTGGGCATCACCTATTGCAGAGTTAATACCTGCAGGGACCAAGAAGTGAGCCTTTACCTATTTCAGGGAACTCTCTTGCCAGGAAAACCAGAAATTCCCTTGAATGCCTGGAGTTTGCCCAGATCCCTATTTGGTCATCCATCTCAGAGACAGGAGAAATGGGCTCCCTTGGAGTACAGGTCAAGGAGAAAATAGATTGCATGCCCATTGCTAACCTCTGAGACCATGTAGAAAAAAATGAGCCAGGTTCATAGGTTGAACTTGGAGTATAAGTCAAAGAGAAAATAGATTGTGTGCCCATTGCTAACTTCTGAGACTATGTAGAAAAAAAATGAGCCAAGTTCAGAGGTTGAAAGCAAGGCTAGATTTCACCAGAAGTGCTGCTGGTGAAAATGCAGATCTGCAGAGCCTGGCAGATCCCAAGGCCTAATAGTGAGATTGTTTTGGCATGGCTTGATCATGGTAGGGCAGCCATAGGTTACATAAATAAGATCTGGCCTCAGATGGAGGAGTGTAGCCACCTCTGAGCAGGTGAAGCTGGTTTGGGAGACCTGAGAGTTCAGCCCTCGGGATTGCCCCCACCCCACACCCCTATCTGGGAATTCTTGGAATTGACTCATGGTGTGAAAGAAAGGCTCAATTTCTCTCTGGATTCCTGAGAAGCTCTGCACAGGCTTCCTTGGGTTTTGGACTAGCCTGACTTAGCAGCAGAACCTTGTTCCTAAAAGTAGGACACTCTTGACAGCCAGGCCAGCAGCTGGCATCTGAGGCTAGCCAGCCACATCTGGGCCTCGTTTATAAACTCTCCACTGCTCTCACTCACGAATGGCAGTGGTAGTAATTATAGGGTAAAGGTCTCTGGTGTTAACCGGGGGCTGGTGGGGTCAGGCATGATACTGTTGGCAGAGCCAGCAGGGGACTGTGTCAGCCCAACTTGCAGAGGGGAGGGGTGAGACCTTGAGCCAAAGAAGAGAGAACTGGAATTTGTTGAAGACTTAGTGGGCCTTCCAGCTCAGGAACAACTAGCCTCAGTCTTGTTGCTAGAGGCTGGAGCTTTGGATGGGTGGTGCTCTCTCCTAGGGTGGCTTCAGCTTTTCCCCCTAGTTCCTAGTTCTCAAAGGACAAACTGAGCTCCATAAGCCCCTCTGAGCCACTGAATCAGCTCAGGGGTGTCTGGGAAACTGAAAAGGGGAAAGCGGTGCTGGGGAGATCTGGGGACGAGTAGGAAGTGCTGTTTGGTGCATTCCCTTCATTGATGTAAGGATGTGAGAAGCTTGCAGGGAAAAAAAAAATGCCTAAACTACTGATTTTGCTGTATGGGTACTTGATTGGCTTCCCAGCTCCCTTTCTTCTACCCTGAGTCTTCCTGTCCTTACAATGTGAGGCTGGGATGGTGTAGCCTGGAAAATCCAATGGTTGGGCTCACCTTGGAGCACTGAATCAGGTCTTCATGCAGAGGCCTCCTAGCATATATCCTCTGGTTCCTGGCTGGACTCCATGCGCCATCTGCCCACATGTGCCTGTTGCCTGTGCCATGCTCTGCTATGACTTGGAGCCTGTCTCAGAACATTTACACCTGCTAAAGAAGCAGCTCCAGTTGGTCATGACTCAGCAGTCTTCTCTGGCGGCCAAGCCAGGCTGTCCCTGACTCAGTGGGGTGCTGGGATGTCCTCCAACACTTCTGAAAGCCTCAGCATCCACATCTGTGACTTGGGTCCAGGCATTAATTGGTCTCAGTAAAAACACTTTGATTAGGCTAGGATGAAAGGGGCTCAGAGAGTTCAAAGCCAGACAGGGTTTTTGGGGTGAAGAAGGGTGGCAGCTGTTTAGGTGACAGTGGAGGGGAGACGCTGGAGTCTCAGACAAAAGGTCTGAGTGTGGAGCCCACAGAGTTCCTCACTTGCATCCATCCTCACTGCTCCTTCTGCAGAACAGGAACCTGGGGGAGAGATGGGGGAGGAGAGGGCTCACTCCAGACCAGGGGTCTTGCCCCCATCCTAGGCTGTTGCCAAGGTGACCTGCCCCCAATTCTCTCCCCCTTCCATACTCAGAGCTATACTGGCAAATCACGCCAAGGTTACCTGGAAGAAGCTCATTCCCAACATCATAGAAATCTAGAGTCTCAGAAAAGGCTAAGATCATCTTGATTTGACTGACTTGAAATAGCTTAGACCTTCCCTCTGTCTTAGCTCCCACCTCCCAGCTGGGATGTTCTTGCAGTATGAGCTCTGCATTCCTTCCCGTGTTCTCCATGTCCTCTTGGGAGAGGGGTCGCCATTATTGCAATGCCATTTGATGACTTTGAGGCTGGGACAGGAATAGGGTTGAGATTTTGGGTGTGCTTTTCAGGAGACCCCTAGAAAGAGAAATCAAGGAGGTGGAAGTGAATGGGGAGCAGGAGAAACTGCTCCGAGCTAAGGAGCTTTTCCGCATGGCCCTGGGAGAAAACTGTTTGTCCCTGGGCGAGTGGGTGTCAGCACCAGATCATAGAATCTCAAGGCTGCAAGGGATCTTAAGGACCCTCTGATGCTTGAATCTTTTCTGTAATCTCTAATAAAATGGTTGGAGAACCTGAGCTTGCTTGTACTTCCTGAGATTCAGGGTGCTCATTACCTCATAAAGCAACCCAGACCATCTCATATCAGCCGAGAACTTACAGATGCTCAGAAAGTTCTTTCTATTGAGTCAATATATGTCTTCCTGTGCATTCACTGTGCCTTCCCAATGCTTTGGGACCACACTAAACAAGTTCAGGCTTTTTTTACATGATCTCCTGCTCCAGCTCCTGTACAGCCTGACCTGATCCCATGCCCAAAGTTCTGGAAACGCATGGCTCTTCTGAGCATTTTTGGGGGGTGGGTGGGTTGTCAGAGGGAGGAAAATGGGGAAAGTCTGGAACCTTCCACCCTATCCATTGGGCTAGGCATGCTGCTCTCCTGCCCTGCCCCCTTTGGCACCATGATCCCTACACTCCTTCCCCTTTCCCAGTGCCCAGGCAACAGGAAACAAACATGGAGAGTAGAGGGAGGGCTGGTCAGGACAGGCTTAGTGGGGAAGGCTCCAAAGCAGACACACACCCGGCTTAGCTGTTACCTGCCAGGAAAGCAAGGCAGGCCCGGGGCTGCACGGGCCTGAGGGGAACCATAGTTCCCCTCTGCAGATATCTAGCTGGGAACCAAGATTGGAGAATCAAAGGCAAATTTTATTTCTACAAATTCAAGGATCAGAGTCCCAGTAGGCATATGGATTAGTCCATAGCAAGGCCTCTCACTCTACATAAAACATACACACGGAAGGCCTGGCTCTGATCCCAGTGATGCTCCGGTGGATTGGGTAGAAGGTCCCCAGAGGTTCAGTTCTCAAGGATCTTCCCTCAGTTCAAAAATAACCATCAGCTGTCTCTCTTGACCTGACGTTCTTCTATGTGGTCTCTGGCAGGGCCCGGGTTTATTTCGCAAGGATCAAAGTACTCTTCCAGCCACCCTCTCCACTCTTAATCTTCCCGCGCATCCCCCGTGTCCTTCAGATCTCTGTCTAAACATCCTTTCCACCAGGTCATCGGCCTTGCTGTGATCACCACAGCTCACTGTGTTGGGATGAGGGGTTGGCACCCCTTCCCTGTCCGTCTCCCCCAGCAGACTGGCTGCTCTAGAGGAGCAGACACTGCTTCATCAGTTGCTGCTCACCGGGGCCCAGTGGAGGCCTAGCCCATTTGCCGAGTAGATGAAAGTTCTGCAGTAACTGGTTGATCTCGCTGAGGTAAGATCTTCTATCTTTAGGTTCTCTTAATTCTTCTTCAGGTCTGTCTTTAGGAATTCACAAACTCTGTACAAGCGAATTCTTCTTTCCTCCACTATTCCCCTGATGACAGTTCAGGTCATAACATTTAATCAACCACCCTTCGTTATGGTTCCCTGTGGATGGCCACTTCTTTCATTTCAGTGCTGTTTGCTCTTTTATTTATTTATTTATTTTAGTGCAATAAACAGTTTATTTCAGACTGTTTGCTCTTATGAGTCTGGGCGAGCTCCAGGATATCACTCGGGAGAGATGTGGGCATATCCAGGTTCCCTCCTGGCATCCCCCTTCTTTTGAGGTGGACCAGCAGGGGTTGCTGAGGCCTGGGAAGCCTGAGTTGGGGCTTAGGGAGTCCCTAGGTCATATGTGTCCAAAACTCTTGCCTGTCAGTCCTCACCTGGACCTCAAGCCCTAACCCTAACCCAGATTCTGAAACAGAACCCCACACCTGGCTTTTATTTCTCTCTCTGTAACTAACTCTAACCCTTCCTCCAATGAACTTGACATTCTCCCGTCACACTACCTGTACCACCTCTAAGCCCCCTCTTTTCACCCAAACATGGCCTCACCTGGTAGTTCTCCGACCCCAAACCTTCACTGAGAGCTGGGGGAAAAGGCAGCCGCTGCAGCGGCTCCTGGCTTCTCTGGGACTGTGTCCACGTGGCGCCTTGTCTGCCCTCCCTGAGGCTTGGCATGCTGTCCATCCTGCACCGTTCATCACTCCTGCTTCCAGACCGTTCCTTGGAGGCTTTCTCTGCACGGCCATTCCAGGACACTGCTGCTCACTCCTTGGGGATTGCAGGGCTGAGCCTGGTCTACATGAGGACTCAGGTGAGGTTCAAAGGAGGCTGCTGACTCTGTGTGTGTGTGTGTGTGTGTGTCTTTTAGAATGGGTCAAGTTGCAGACCAGGGGGCTGGAGGGGAGTTGGGAACTTGAACTTGAGCTCAGAGGGCCTAGAGGAGGGGTTAGATGGACAATCTGGGCAGGTGGGGGCAGGGTCTACAGGCATTGTGCCAAGCTGCTGTGAAGGGCACTTTGGAGGAAGAATAGGTGGGCCAAGGCCTNCCAAGTTGCTGTGAAGGGCACTTTGGAGGAAGAGTAGGTGGGCCAAGGCCGCCTCCTATCCTTCCCCCAAATGTTCTGGGGTCAGGCTGTGCCTCATCTCAGAAACAGTCTCTGGGCTTCTCTGGGTCCTTGACCTACCTCTTCCCTTCTCCTCCGTCTCTGTTCACTGCTTTCCAAGCCTCTGTCTTTGAGTTTCTGTGTCTTAGAATAGAAGCAAATACAACCAAACTGTGAGGCATGGACAAGAGAAGGGCCATTCTCCCCTGGACAATTCTAAATTTCTTGGAGAAAAGCAAGAGACCCTTTTCGGAAATTTGTGTGCTGGGCCCTAGTCACAGCCTGGCCTTCTGCCTCCTCTGTGTTTCTCTAAACCCTTGGATGAGCCATTTGGGTGCCACCTGCGTTCCTCTGCTTCTTAGTAATCAACAGCTCTCCTGGGGCACAGAAGGAACCCCAGTTGTCTACAGATTGTGCCCAGACCTTTATCAGACATGAAAAGGAAGTGGGTGGGGAAATGGGATGTTTGGGGTGGAGACTGGGTTGGGGAAAAGGAGAGAGAAGAAATGGGGTAGGAGTCCTCCCAGGAGTGGACTCTCTTCCTCTGCTGAAGATGATGCTCAGAGAGAAACTTGGGCTGTGGGATGGTTCCAGAGGGAGGGGGCCATGGGCTAACCTTATGCTATGAAAACTAAACTGATACCCAGTGCCCTCACTCCACCACTGCCCCCCCCTCCCCCAGGGGGCTCAGGGCACAAAGCAGGAAGGCTGACAGCTTCTTTTATGGGCCCCAAATTGCAAGGAGGTGGCAATTAGCCCTCAGTGGGTCAGAAGAGCAACAATGTGCCTTGCCTTTTGAGGTTTGGAGGGGCCCCTGTGTGGTGCCCTCAAAAGTGGCTGTTCTAGGAGCACCTAGGCACTCAGCCTTCCCCAATTCCCATCTCTTAGACCCCAAAACCAGGACACCACCCCAGTAAAACCGCTTCTGATAGACCCTGTCTACTAATTCAATGTGGTGCCAAAGCACCACTCATTGCAAATAGCTTCCTGTATCCCTTCCCCAAATCCCTTTCTGGGAGCTTGACAGGTGGTGAGCTGAGGTCGTGGAGCAGCACTTCAGAGGTTACATTTGTCATTGGATTAATGCTTCATACCCATCAGATGGGCTCATGCATATTTGCAAATCTCCCCAAAATCTTGAGTCTCCACTCAACATGTGCCATTGGTGTTTTCTCAGAGCACAGGGATAAACATTCTAGCCAAGCTTGGCTTTAGCAGATGGAGGCCAAGGTCTTTCTATATCATACATAAAGCCTAATTTTTGATCCCCATGAATTCTCCTGCCAATATAACTTTAACCCATGTTCTAACCCTGACCACAGTCTATTCTAATTTGAATTCTAAACTCAATTCTAACCCAGCTGTAATCCCAATCCTAAATCAATCTCCATCCAGCCTTTGATTGGGTTGTAACTGCATTTCAAGCATAGCTGTAAATGAAAAACCCTATTCCTTATCATAACATGGATCCCAGCCATCAACCCTAGCCTCAGTTCTGGCTGTTATGCTAACCCTAATCTCAACCTTAATTACCATCTCAACCTCAAATCTGACCTCAACCTCACTCATAATTTCAACTAACTCCAACCTTCACCTCAACTTCATCCAACCTTCATTACAACTATACCATTAGCTGAAATCCAGAACCCAATTAAACTCCAACCCTGAACTTCAAGGTAATGGAATGACAGCTTTTCTCCTTTGTTTTCAGTCTACCTCTTCCCAGTCCCACCTGCTCTCCCCTCTACCCATTACTGACCTTCCATGCTTTGTCCCCATGGATGGGTCTAGTAACCCATGAGATCACCAAGACCTTTTCTTGGACTACTGTGGATTGAGAATCAGGATGCCTGGGTGTCCCCCACTTAGTCGGGCCCCAGCAGCATCACCTGAGCTGAGCTGTTTCTCCAGGCCTCTGTTCCACTTTTTTAAAGTGGAGGTAATGATCCCTGCTTTCCAGAGTGTGCAGGGCAATCATATAAACCTCAAAATAAATAAGGAAAGGATATGCATTAGTGGGTCCCAGAGTACCCTGTTATTGTTGGGGGTGTGGGTAGAAGGGTGGGCCCTGAAAGTATCCCTGAGTCTCATAACTCTCCCCACAACTCTTCTCCTGTCTTTCCTACGCCCCATCAGAGATGGGGGTGGGCTACTGAATGGGGCCACCCTTTCATGATCAGACCCACCTCTCCCGAAGCCCATACAGGCCCAAGGCCTGTTCTGGACCCCCCTGAGCCAACCAGCAAGGGTTGCCCCTTCACTTCCTCCCTCTGCCCACCAGGGCCCTCCCACCACAGCTCTAACTTGCCCAGACCTTGTTGGCTTAGTCACCCTGATGAGCAGTCCAGGTTATGAGGGTCCTTGGTCTCCCTTCCTGTGCATAGGAGCAAGGACACCAAACAGTCCCTAAAAGAAGTTCACAGGGGGCTTAGCCCTCCTCAACAGACACATGGCACATCCCAGTGAGTGGGCACACACAGGCACACCCCTTCCCTGGCCCTCTTGGTGCTGTTCTCCCCGAAACCTCCTCACTAACCCATTCACTTGCTGTTCTCCCTCTACACACACTGGTCTTCTCCCCTCAGGCCTCACTGAACTGGTTTTAGTTTTGTGTGGGAGTTTGGGCTGGATCCCTATAATACCCCAAGCTCCCAGGGATCCCCTACATTCAAGGATGACCTTGCATCAGGTATAGGTTGGGGGCACAGAGGGGGCAGCTAGGGGAACACTGATCCCAAACTCACCCTTCCTTCTCTCATTCAGCTCAGCAGAGCTGACTTTCTTTGAGGGACCAGAGGCCTCAGGTGGAAGGTGGGCTGGGCATTCCTGTGTCCCTTCCCTCCAGCCCTAGTGTCCCCTTCCCTGGTGCCCCTTCCCACAGACCTGGGGGACATCCTTCAGAGGATCAGGGATAAGAGGGAGCAGGATTTGGAAGGTGTGTCAGACCCCTATACCCTGGGGTCAGTGTTAATCCTTCAAGGCCTGGACACCCTTCCTCCCCAGCCTGGCTTCTCCTTCCTCTTCCATTTCCCCTGGGGAAGGAGGTAACAAACCTGAGTGGTGAGGGGAGCTCCACGGATGTCATAAAACGGGGTGACTATTGTCACCTGAGGATGGGGCCAGGAGGAAGAAGTTTAACAGGTGCCTAATTACAAGTCCCACTGGCAGCCCTGCCCCACTCTCTGGATAGGGAAGAGCTTGGGTGATGGCTGGGTAATGCCCAGGTAGGCCACTCTGTCACCCCGATAATTAGGGTTTTGGGGACTCCTCCCCAAGGCGGGGACCTGGCCCCCTCCCTCCCATAGAAATAACTCTGGCTGCTCCTGGGCTGGGCACTCACTGTACCTTCCTACCACCCCGGGGCAGTGTCTGGGCCCTCATCTCCCCCTTCCTCCACCCATCCCCACACACGCACTACCACCACCGGCCCCACAGCCACGGGCCCAGGGACACCCAGCCCAGGAGGAGGAAACGCCGAGCCTAGAGACATGGGAGTTCGAGGAGCGTTCCACCTTCTGCTCGTGTGCCTGAGCCCAGGTATGGGGCTGGGCAGCAGGCAGGGATGCCGGCACAGGGCTGGATGGGCAGAGAAAGGGCAGTGAGGGGCGCACAGAGGAGCCTGGCAGTTGTCTGAGATGCCTTGGCAGGGTTCGGCCTACTGTCGCCCTGCTGCCACCCAGGTTTGGATATTGCCAAGGGGCCTCTCCCCAGGAGAGCCTATCCTGAAGGCTTGGGGCAGAGATCTTCGATGCTCCCTCGCTGTGGGGCTCACACATGCACCACCAGCTAAGACTGAGTACAGGGCTGTGCAAACTGGGAGTGCGGTGGATGGTCAGGTGAGCAGCAAAGCTGAGTGGGGGCTCAGGAGGAGCCTAGGAAGGAGCCCTTTTCACCAGTGTGTGTGCTATCCAGCAGGAGGCGCCCCCCCCCCCAA